CCAATCTGGTTCCTGCACCTCCGACTCTTTGCGCCGCCTTTGCAACGCACCAACTTTGAGCTCCTCATTCTCGAGCTCAGAAGCTCTCGCTGCTGCGGCTCTGACAGAATCGAGATTGCTTGCCACCCTCCCCCCCCCCCGAACGGCTCCCAGCAGCTGCCGGGCGCGCACCAAACAAACAGCTCCGCTTTGGCTTGCAACACTCTCGCCTCCCCCCCTCTCCCCTCCCACTGCCCAGCTACCCTCTTAAAGGGGCTGGCACCACTTCAAAAACGCCCTCAGAGTCACCCGCGACGTCCGCTTGGCTCAGGCTTGCTCCTCAAGGGGAGTTTTGTCCCAAAAATTAAAATGCAAGCGAATGGAGCCTCCACCCCAGATCCTCTTGGCAATCAGATGCATCGTGGCTGCAGTCCTAAGAGGGCGCTTTCCTGGGAGTGAGTCCCGTGGCATGACGGGGGACTTCCTTCTGAGTAAACCTGCAGTGGATTGGGGGCCGACAGGAGGGGAGGCAGCCGAGGAGGGGGCCGGCTGGTCCGGGGGGGGGCGCGGGCTTGGCCCGGGACTCCCCTCCCCACCTCTTCAAAGGAGGAGAGAAGTTGGACTTCCTTCTCTCCAGGCCCCGCCTGGAGGTTGGCAACCCTGTAATTGGGTGCGCGGGGGGCGCCAGAAGGTAGCCCTGCCTAGGGCGCAAAAAAACCTCTGGCCGGCCCTGAGAGAGGGAAGGAAGGAAATACGGAGAAATGCCCCCCCATAAGTTTCTTGCAGGTCCCCACGTCAGTGTACCTAATTCTGAACATGTCCCCATCTATGGATACTTAAATCTGGAGACTAAAGCTGTGAATGGACAGGACAGATCTTTTACAAACATGTAAAATACCCCATAAAAAATCTGAAATCTTAAAAAAAAAAACATTGGGAGTTAACCCCCTCAAACAATAGTAGTAGCAACTGTAGCTTTAAGAAACTAATGCCGTTAGTGGCCATTGTTAGGCAACAATAACAGTATTGCCAGCCTTGGTTTCTGACATTAAAAATTGTTTTTTTCCCCCCCAGAGCTGTTTTGTGTTCATCAGGGCTAGGCCCAGCAACAACTATGGAGTAGGGTTTCCAGAGGTGTTTCAGAGGTGGGTGGGGACGTTGTTTAATGTGCTGACATCATCCAGAAGTGTCGTCAGCATGCTGGCGATGTTGGGGGCGATACTCTGCTTTTGGGGCAAAACTCTATGGTAAAAACAGCCTCAAACCATAGTTTTGCCCAAAAAGCAGAGCAGCACCCCCCAACGTCACTAATGCGTTGATGTCACTTCCAGGTGACATCAGCATGTGTGTCACACATGGCGTTGTGAAGTAGGGTGAATTTCCTACTGCTGGTCACCTGGCCAGTGGCAGGCAGGAATCCACAAAAGCAGGAAATCCTGCACCACCACCCCACCTAGGGAATGATATACCTACCACGGAGTGATTTGCTACTATGCAACTTGCATGACTCACCTAGGAATGACAGCTTGCTAATGTTCAACAGCAGCCATGCCACAAAAGCCAATGTGGTATAGTAGCTACAGTTTCAGACCAGGATCTGGTAGACCCAGGTTTGAATCTCCACTCAGCTGCAGCTTACTGGGTGAACTCGAATAACTTACACATTCTCAGCCGAACTTACTTCACAGCATAAAATGGAGTTCAGGATAAAGATGTAAGCTGCTTTGGGTAGCCATTGTGGAGAAATAGTAAATAAATAATAACAGCAGACGATGGAGGACACATTAAAGACAGGTAGGTTGGTAAGTGAGGTGGTGGTTAGGCATCAGGGAAAGGTGATGCTTTGCGGGTTGCCAGGAAGAAGAAAAGAGGAAATAAGTGTGAGGAAGAGGATACAGAGTTCCTGCGGTTCCCACAGTTCCCCACTGTGCAAGTGGGCCCAGTCACCAGCATCACACAACTGTGCCCTAGTTTTCCCAGGTAGAGGCTGCCAAGGGGAAGGGGGGGAAACTGAAGTCAGGAGAGCAGTTAAAGGCAGCTTGGGTGGTGGGCGGAACTTGAAAAAGGAGAGAGGCTAAAGGAAAGAGAATACAGTGGAGGGGGGGGTGAGACAGCCCCTGCAAATCTTTACACTTGTGAATTAATTATTCACAGCTGCGAAGTACAAATGGAAGGGCTGTGTAACATCTTTACATAACTTACAGATTATTGCATATGTGACACTGAAGCAAAAACCGCTGCTTTGATTTCAGTTAGAGTCCAAAGAGCAAAGTATTCTGAACCTGTTCAGATGCTGGACATACAAGATTTCTTATCTGACAGCATGGAATCTGTTGTTGCTATAACCTCTATGGTTGTTGCTATTCTCTTCCCTTCCCCCTCCTGTAATTCATCCGTCACTTGCTGCCACCTGTGCAAATTATGACAACAGTGAAGACTGTCCAATAAAAGCATGAAAACTTCCTCACAATACTGTCACAATATAGATATGACAAAAATAAAAGCGCTGCAAATCCACAATATTATTGAGTTTATAGGATTAGGTCTTATTGAGACACATTAGCATGTCAATTTAAGAGTCATCAGTTTGAGTGTCCCAGAATTTGTCCACTCTTTCAACAGACAGTGGGCTGACTCACACTTCATTTGGATTTTCTGCACCAGACAACTCTGCACTTGATGGCTGGAACCTGATGTGTTAACTGAGCACTGCATTTGAAGAGGATGTTACAATTCTGTTTGTGTTGTTACACTGGTGGGGCCCCACTGACACATATGAGATCATTTAATGGTGCATGTTGAAATGCACCCTCACATTTCAAGAAACTGAATGCCACATTTATATCTCTCTGCACTTCAGTGCCAGGAAGAATACACTGGTGTTTTTTAAAGTGCCATCTCTTTTGCTGAAATACCAAGCACCAAAGCAAATGGAAATTAAGGCAAATGCTGTGGCATTTAGCAGTGGCCTTTTCACAAATGCACAGGTAAAAGGGGAGTCCTGCTGATGAAACTCTGCAGTAGCCTGAACGGGGTTTTGAACAGTTCCAGGGAGATCTCATGTCTTTTTAACAAAGGCGATTTTCACAAGAATCAGCTCTTTCATTCTTACTCTGGAGATTGTCTTTGATACCAAAATTAATTAGTGAGAATGTCCGTGCAGGAGCATTTACACAAAGTTTTTAGGAATAACCACAATGGGTAGGAAGGGCTATTTAGTCATCTTTATCTATAACCCATTTGAACATTAAGTAGTCCTGCTGTATATTCAATATTTTGTTAGACCCCTAAAAATAATGAGAGAGGGAGTAAGAGAGAGAGTGTATTATCTGTATAATTAACAGCTGGCAAATGTCAAGCTGCTTCTCTCTCTCAGTTGGTTTGTCACTGCTCTATACTCCCACATCAATTCTTACTAGAAAATCTTAAAACATACAATTAAACTGTGTATTTTATGACAATAGCACAAGACCATGCATTTTTCATTATAATATCATCAATTATTCTTTTAATGTGTCAACAATACCACATGGTTACTAAAGAATTCCAAACCACTGAAGTATATATCTTGTAGAAAACAAATTGTCTTGCCTATCAATCCTGGAAAGGTTTCCTGAAATCCAAGCCAAGACAAACGTGCAGTTCCTCATCCTTACTTTCAAAGCCCTCCGTGACCTCACCCCACTTTATTTCCACCCTCATATCCTGATCTACCCAGGCCTGTAGTCTTCATTCCCAGTTCCACACTCTCAGCCATCCAAAGGTCTCCTGCTTCCTCAAATCATTACACTGTTCTCGCCAACCATTTATGCCTATATCTGTCCCACCCAGTTGCTTTCACTTCATTCAAGTCCCTCTTCCCACATTTTCTGTGATGCCTTTACTGCATCTTCCTAGTCCCCATCCCCTACTGAAACTAAGCCTAAGTACATGAAACTGAAATGCTGCCATCACCCTCTCCTCCCTTTATGTTCCCAGTATCAAGTTTTAGACTGTATGATCCTTGGAGCATCAATCCCAATAACACATCAATGGTGTTATGTAAGTAAAAAAACAACTGGAGCTGCATTCAGGTACCAGCTCCCTCCAGCAGGGCAGTGATGCTCTGTATTTTTGATGCTTGGGGGGGGGGGGCAATGGTGGGAGGGCTTCTGGAGTTCTGGCCCCGCTGGTGGACCTCCTGATGACACCTGGGTTTTGGCTACTGTGTGAAACAGCGTGTTAGACTGGAAGGGCCACTGGCCTGATCCAACATGACTTCTCTAATGTTTTTATTTTCATTCAGTATCAATCTCAGCATCTGACAAGCCTGGAAGCCGCTGGGTCCTTATCACTTATTGCCTAACTTAGCATTAAAACTGGTTATGTATTACTAAAGAATAGTAATATCCTCCACAGCAATAGACGTGTACACAGTTGTTATCTATAATTTGCAAATTACCTGCTCAAATCTTGAAATTCTGAATCAATCTACACTTGAGAGCTCTACAGCTCTCCTGAGCCTGCTCTATTTTCCTGTCCAGGCCACATGTCTTTCTGAATGACCTCCTTCTCTTTGGTCTCTATAACAATCTCATCATTGGCTATCTCACTTCATGCAATGCTGCCTTTGGAACACATTGGTAAAATTTTCTCCCTACAATTAACTTCGAAGGCTATGATCTACCAGTGGCTCACTACTTTTTTTTTTGGGGGGGGGGGGGAGTGGGGACAACAGAGCTGCTGCAGGAATGTGTCTGTAAGGTGCTCTCAAACTGCAGCCAATTTATGGTGAAACCTCATGGGATGAGCAGAGGTGGTTTGCCATTGCATATCACTTCAGAGCAATCCAAGAACTAACCATGGATGACCCTGCGCTTAGCTTCCAAGATCTGATGAGATCAGGCTAGCCTGGGCCATCCAGGTTAGGGTGCTACAGGAATAGGCAGACACTTTCATATAATCCCTTCCAAACTAACAGGTTAACAGGTTTCTACCTCCCACTTACATCATTTAAGAATCTTGTCCGCAAAGGGAAGAATCCTACACACTAACTTAACTCTGATCTTGGATTTTAATAAACCTGACGACACAAAACTGACTTAGGCCTGATATTTATATTTGGCAATTACACTGTGAATTATATGGAAACTCCATAAACCCCCCACCTCTACATAGCACAGGTGTTTGCAGGGCGTACCAATTCCGCAATCAGTTTGTTCAATGTGGATCTGAGTGCTCTGCATTGCTTTTTCTGTGTAAACATTCTGGAATGGGAGAGTGGTCTAAGGAAGCAGTTATGTAGTACCCCTCATACAAATTTTGGTGCATGCCTGGAGAATAGAATATGTGTTGACAGTTCGCAGGAAACTGTAGAAAAGACTGCAAAGCAAAGGGATGATACCATTTTACGATAATTTCAGGTAAAACAAGTGAAAAACACAACTTTTAAAATCTGCTGCTGTGAGGCAATGCTCAGCACTGGAGAGAAGAAACATATATAGACACGCCACTGCAAAATAGCTCATAAAACCATAGAAATGTATCACGAGTATGGAGGCTTACAGAGGATCTTGCTCAGTACACCAGTCAGGGATTAGGCAGATTTATAGGGGTCAGGTACACCAACCGCTACTAGCTATGATGACAAAAGGGAACTTCCATATTCAGAGGCAGTAAGCTTCTGAATACCAGCACCAAGGAGCAACATTCTGACCATTCAGGGCAGCTGGTTCGTCACTTTGTGAAACAGAATGCTGCACAAGATGGACCACTGGTCAGATTCAGCAGAGCACCTCCTCTTATGTGCTTAAGTTAGACCTTTGTCAATTATTTAAGGGGAAGAAATTTCTGGAATATAAACACACCCGCATAGCCAGAGCCTCTGATTGCATTATTTATGCCTTTACTTTCATGCTTGTTTAGACATCACAATCTCTTTTCGTTTGTTGTTTTGATGATTCCTTTCAAACTCTTCTTTCTGATGATAGTACACTGCAATGTTCAACAACATCCCTTAGAGCCACAGCATCCTGAGGCAGTCTGTTTAGGCATTCTTGCCTCCATCTGTTCCACTACTTTAAAGGGATTTTGAAGCTTGTCCTGTAAAACAAAAATCAGAGTAAAAAAGGATGTTGTTCTGTTGCTCTATTACTTTAGCTAAAAGGAGTGTCTAAACAGGAGAACTACATGCTAAAACACTACCTACAGTTCAAAGTAAGGGAGAATGGCAAAGTCCTGGGAACTTGTTATTCCTGTGGCTCTGTGTATTCTATTTGAATTTATTTGAAAGCAACTCAGAGGGATCGTTCATGCTCACAGCAACCTTGAGAGGTGGGGTTGAGAAAGTAACTTGCCAAGGACACCACTAAGATTTGTCTGAACAGGGATTTGAACCTGTTTTCATTTCCCTATGTCCAGTACAGAACCAGTGTTTATTCTACATGTATAATGGCAGAGATACTGCTTTGTTTTTTTAGTTGTCTTCTTATAAGGTTTCTTAACTTCCATGACTATATACAAAATCTAATGCAACCTTCAGGGCTTGCTTCTTTCTGTCTCTGTTCTCCTTCAGTGGGGGAAGTCATCCAAACTGGCTAAGCCAGGCATCCTCTCACTCCAAATTTGTGTAAAATAAAATGGTGCAGAGTGAAGCTGACCCTCTAGTTTCGATAGCCCTGGTTCCACTTTCTCAGAGACTCTTGCCTATTGGTATGGAAGACAGAAAAGTCTTGACAAATGGCCCCACTGGCAAGCTTAAAAAAGAATAAAGAGACCATTAAGACAAGCCTCTCCCACCTGAGGTTCTAGGCCTCAGGACTGGCCAACAGCAGGTATATCTACAGTGGCACAAGCCGCCATCAGTGGGAGACTGTTGTGGCAGTCCTCTTCCGCCTGAGGCTTCAGGCATGGGACTGGCACAGGCCTGTCGGTACTGCAGACCCAAGGCTTCAGGTCGTTCCCCAGCCAGCCCTCAACTGAGATCTACTGGGTCTGAGCCCAGACCTGCTCTCTTTATGAGTCCCATATTCTCTACATATGGAAGACGGAAGGGCCTTGAGGAAGGGCCCTATTGTCAGTCTTAGAAAGAAGGGGGAGACTGTTGTGGCAGGCCTCTCCCACATGAGGCTTCAGGCATCGGAGACTGGCATGGGCCTCTGTCAGTGCTGCCAGACCCACTGGCTCCTGACTGCACTGGAAAAAACCCAGCAGAGCTCTACTGGGTCCAACAACCATGAAGAGATCATAGCAGGTAGCCCACCCCATACAGATTCAGAGGCTTCCAAGCCTATAGGGAGTGAGAGGATTAGAGCTGAAGGTCAGGCCTCCCTTCCCTCCAAAATACATAGGAACAGTGGGATAAGACCCCCAAGGTGAATGATCCAAGCAGGGGTTACAACTCAGCAGAGCAGGCTCCCCCCCCCCCCCCCCCCCCCTAGGCCTTTCCCAGTAGGTTTGACAGTTCAGGAAAATTCCAATAGGATGGCTGCTCAGGTTTCCACCCATACTTTTTCTGCCCTCCCTCTGCCGATTGCAGGACGCAGGCCTTTAGTCCAACCTGGGCATCCCCCAGCCCAATGCGTATGCAACCAGGAATCATGTTGGCCTGTCCGTGGCTAGGAGCTCCTGGCCAAGTGGTAGCTGTGGCTGATCTCACCAATAAGGACACTAGCACCGGCGACATCAGGAACCCTTGAGAGCTAGTCAAATGAGATGTTCCCTTTCTCCCTCCATCACCCATGTCAGGCTTGGGTTTGGGGGGTGAAGGAAGTTTTTTCAACCATAGGATATATGGCTACAAGCGCTGATAAAGAAAAAGGGGAATGGTCAGAAAATTCTCCTAGGCCTTCCTAGGAAAGTTCTTCTAGGCCTTTCCAGCCAGAACATTCCTGGAGATTAAAAAAGGTGCCTATGCCATCTCTTAACTACCAGTTGGATACAACAGAAAAACCTAGGTCATCTGCTTCAACCAATTTAGTTACTAGAGGATTTGAAAAACCATCCAAAGGGTCCTCAGTTTGTCCCTCTCCAAATTCTTTGTTTACATACGAAAGGCAGAATGGGCAGTTTCAGGCAACAGCACTTTCTTACAGGGCATAGGAAAAAAGGTCTTCACATTTCCGGCAGGCAACATGAAAGATCTCAGGTCCCTCTGCTAGATACTCCAGTAGTAGTCTTACATTCAGAAGCAGTTTTGCCTAAGGATGTGGCTAATGTGTGTAAGAATTCAGTGAATAAAAATATTAATGATAATGAGATGGCCCAAGCAGCCTCTCTGACAATCTGAGCTACTGGCCATGCTCTCAAATTTTGCCAGGGTCATCATAGGTTTGGGCTAATAACCTCCTTATGAGCAGGACACTGATCCCTTGACACTTAAGAGATTCACCCTAAAGATGAAAAGGGCTGCAAAATTTGCAGCAGATGCATCCCAAGGGGCCATGCAGTCTGGTGCCAGAGCACAAGACACCAATATAGTCATCAGAATGAACGTATAGCTAAATCATTGGAAGGTGGACCCTCTTTCTATTTCCAATTCATCGGTATTAAAAAACACACACACCAAAAAAAAACAGGAACAAAAGGATTTCAGGCACTCTTGCACTTTTGGCTATAGGTTCAGATTCCAGCAGAGACAGTTCCCTCCTAACAAACAGGACAGGAACCAACAAAACAAAGACCAGCCACCTGACTATATAGTTGGGGGGGGTAGGGGTGTGCAAAAAAGAAGTCGATATTTTTCAGCTCTAGGTATATCAGACCTGACAAATATCAGTAAATGCCGAATATCCCCAGTCCAATACCGGTAAAGTATCAGGGCTGGGGAAATATTCGGTACTGCCAAATATATATTTGGGTCTGATGCACCCGACAGGAGGGAAGGGAGGCATGTAAAAATGCCTTCTATCCCTCTGGAAGCCCCTGCAGCTTTGCTTGTCAATTTCACTCCCCGCCAGTCAGGTTTAAGCCATTTAAACCTAACTGCAGCTGACCAGGGGAAGCCTCCTCTCTCTGCCTTCCCTTCTCTAGCTGAGCTGGGGTAGCTGGAAAAGCGAAGGCAGGGAGCCCAGCCATGTTTCCATGACTGCCCTTTGCTTCCCCAGCCCCCCCCCCCCACAGGGTTGGCTGGAGAAGCAGAGGGCAGGCATGGAAACATGCCTCCTTCCCTCCCTGAGCCTCTCCACTGCTGCAGAGCAGCTCAGGGAGGGAAGGGGGAGAAAAGAAGGCATGTTCAAAGACCTTCCTTTCCTTCCCCGATCTGGGGGAAGGAAAGTAAGGCATTTAAACATGCCTGGGTTCCCTGCCTGCCCTTCTCCAGGGCCCCCGCAGCTGCCTGCCCTCTGCTTTCCCAGCCCTCCTGCTGCAGTGGTGGGGTTGGGGAAGCAGTCTCGAGGAAGGAAAGAAAGGCATTTAAATATACCTTCTTTCCCCTCCCCCTTCCCTCCCTGAGCTTCTATGCAGCAGTGGAGAGGCTCAGAGAGAGAAGGAGGGATGTTTCCATGCCTGCCCTTGGCTTTTCCAGCCCTCCCACCAGGTGGTAGTGAAGGGGCTGGGAAAACAGAAGACAGTCATGGAAACATGCTTGGGCTCCTTGCCTGCTCCTCTCCATTTGCCCCGCAGTTGTGGGGCCCCTGGAGAAGGGAAGGCAGGAAACCCAGGCGTGTTTAAATGCCTTTCTCCCCCTCCCTGAACTGGGAGAGGGGGAGAAAGGCATTTAAGCATGGTTGGGCTCTCTGCCTGCCCTTCTTCAGCAGCCCTGGGGCAGCTGGAGAAAGGAAGGCAGGGAGGAGTCTTTGCCTGGTCAGTTTCACTCCCACAGCTGACTGGCAGGGAGTGAAATTGGCTAGGGAAGCAACAGGGGGAGGGAAGTCAGTGTTTGGCTACCTGAAAGCTGAAAAAAAAATGAATATATTTGGGAAACTGTATTTGGTAACCTAAAAGTTTCCTAAATCTGCATTTGGCTTTAAAAATACTGATAAATATTGATAAGGATTTTCAGTCTGTGTCTCACAGCTTGCAGCCTTTAGATAAAAAGTTCTTGAGCCATGTATCTGAGAGGCATATGAAGTGCAAGGCCTAGGACCTCCAAAGGATGTTACGGCCCCTACCCCAGCTCTGCAGCAACATAGAGACACTTTCCACCAATGTTCCGGTGGAAGAAATAGGTAGAGACGCATCCTGGTCCACATTTTATACCTGTATGAGATACTATAGGTGGGAACAGTTAAAATCAGCAGAAGCTTCATCTGGTAAAAAAGTGTGCAACACAGTGGTTGAACAGAATAAAAATAAGGATGAGGATCCCACCCAGGTTGTAGCTTGGCTATACAACCAGTTTGGATGACTTTCCCCACTGAAGGAGAACGAAACATTGGAACTTACTTAAAGGTTTCTTCTCTTCCCACTCTTTATGGGGGAGACAATAGATTTACCCACTTGATCTGCCCTGCAATGAAACCATTTGTTTTTGCTTTGTTTTGTTAACATGCACATAAGCATGCCAAATTACTGACAAAGGAAACACATCACAAAATGGCAATTACTACATTGAGTAATGGGGGAGGGGCTGTGGCTCAGTGGTAAAGTATCTGCTTTGCATGAAGTAGTAGGCGGTGCTGTTGTGTACTACAGAACTGCAGAGGGTATTATTGTAGTTTGGATCTTGAATACCATTTCAGATGGAGGAACCTACCAAGGCAACTTTTCTATTCTGCTTCACCCAGATCTATACAAATAATTCCCTGCATTTTAATTTTATATCTTACAGTAAGAGATTAATCAGTTCACCCAAATAGTTCAGCCAGCATTTTTTCCCTGTTTCTAAGAAATGAATTTTAGTAAACTACAGAAGTGACAAAAACCATACGCGCAACTGTTACTCTGAATTCTGTTCAGTAAGATAATCTGTTGTGCTCTCCTCTTCTGATGTACGATTTTATGTGTTTACTATACGAATGTGAAAGCAAATGCCTCGTTCCTGTGGTACTACCTTCCCATAGTTAGCTCAGACAAATGGTTTGCAGTCTGTCTCATCCAGGCCTCCAACATCACCATTAAAGCCAAGCAGATTTTGCACCATCTGTTCACCATAGGCACCTTGT